TATCTGTACATATGAACACTCCCGAGAACATTCCACATCCACATCCATGCATGCTTACAGCTAGGTGAGGCCCTGCTCCCTGAAGATGGAGGCCTCAGAGGTGGCCAAGTTGGCAAGCGGCAGGTGTGGCAGGGGGCAGGCAAGATTCCCTAGAGGGCCCACACCCTGCAATGCCTGGGTACAGGGCCAGGGGAGGAGCCCTCCCCAAAGCTTTCCGTCACAGCTCCCCATGCACCTCAATGCACCTTGCTACAAATAACACTCATTAGCTGCTGTTTACAGCGGGCAGGGCACCCAGCACTCTGATGAGCACAGCTATTATGACTGGCCAGCTGCCGCCTGCACACGCACTCATGCACGTAGGTACACAGACACTGAGTTTCTGCCACCGCCCTGTCTTCCCCTTCCCCCTACTGGAGCCCCACATGCTCCATCATGTGGATGTATCAATTCCCAAAACATCCCAGCCCACTGTATAACTCACTCCAGAATCCCCAATCCCTAGCCCAAGTGACACACCTTTCCCAAGGGTCTTCTCCAAGTGGAAGCAGCAGCCAAGCCTCCCAGAGCAGTAGATGCACCAGCCCACCTTCCCACTAACTGGTTAGTAATGCAGGCATAGGCTCTGGGAGCCATCCAGTCCCTTCCACAGGTCCCATGCTGTCTACCAACTCTGTTCTAACCCTGGGGGAATTCTGCTGGGTGAGACAAAGCCCTGCCCTCCAGGGACAAATTGAACAGAGCCCAGCAGGGCTGCCCCCTACTACCTGGAAGGTCAGCACCTCCATGTTCATGGAACTGGCACAATTTGCTTGGCACCACTGGCTAGGGTTCCCTGGCAAGGCAGGAGGGTACCCAGGCTTAGCCTGGCACAGGCTTGCATGGGCTGGCTTTGGCACCTGGCCAGGGCAGTGACCGCCCTGATCGAGAAAGCTGACCTCATTGGCCATGAGTGCCACCTGTGAGTACTGACCGTGGATTGGGGACCGGCTCCACATGGCCCTGCCTGGGCCCACCTGAGTGTCACAGAGTTTCTAAGGAGGCCACAGAGCTGATTCTCTCCCCTGCCTCTCTTCCTCCTCTGCTCAGGACTGGGCCTCCCAGCCTGCATGTGGCCCCCTCACCAGCTTCTCCCCTGCTGTTCTTGGCCTTACTCCCCTGGGGGAAGCAGTTATTGAAAACGGTCCATCAGATTCAATAAGGTTTCAAAATCCCTAAGAGAATAGAGGATGGGTAGAGAGAGGGGTGGGGAAAAGAGAGGTGGGAGGAGACCACTCACTCCAGCTCTGTCTTTACCCCATGATGTGCTTCACAGCAGGGCTGGAGGGCCCTCACTATATTGACCTTGGTGCCCATGGGTCAGCCAGGGGCAGGACCAGTTGCTCAAAGGCCTCTCTTTGCTTACTTGATTGCCCACCTGTTCCTCTGCCTTCCAGCTGCCCCCCTATCTGTCACCAGCTGTCCCATCACTGGATCCAACCTACTCTAGCCACCCACCCCCCAAAGAAGGGTTTCAGGACCATCTCTCTCCCCATCATCCTTTGGGACATCCTCTCCCATCCCAGTGTTAGGTCTGCTTAACCCCAGGCTCCCTCCCTGCCATACCTGTTATAATGACCAAGTACTCTATAGTCTCAACTTCTGCCCCAAGCCTAGGATGCAGGCAGGGCAGTAGATGGGGCCTAAACTGATGGGGCTGGCCAGGAGAGGAAGGTCCTTAGAGAACAGATGTCAGGGAAATGGTGGGACGGTTGTATTTTGAGGCCCATCCCTGGCCCTGGCCCTGGCCCTATGGTCCTCACACTGTAACCCTAATCTGCTCTTTCAGCCCATACCCCTAATTCCAGTTTCACACCCATCCCTTAATCAGTCTCTGCCCTTAACTTGTACCCAGAGAGTTGATCTGGACAATTGCCTAGAGAGAGAAGGCCCACCTTGCCAAAGTCCCCTGCTCTATACAGTGTATGTGAGTCTGGCCCCAAGTCCTGCGTAATGGAGTATTTGTAGTGCATAGAGTCCACTAACAGGTGGGGCAGATGAAGGCTTCAAGTACTCCTATCCAGTGGGACAGACAAGATCCCAGACACTGAGGGCTGAGTAGGCAGCCCTGAGGACCTGAACCCCTTCCCAGCCCTTCCTCCTCTGGCCTTGCTCACTAGCTCACCGCAAGGTCACCTCTCCCTCCCTCCTCCTCCCCACTGCCATCCTGCCTGTCCTGCCTGCCCACTGCAACGCTGACCCCTGCAGGCCTGCTGAGGCCCTGCCCAGCCTGGGGACAGGCAGTCAGAGGGACAGACTGACGGAGGCGGAGGCAGGCCAGGCCAGCTTTGGGATGTGCAGGAGACAAAGGCGGAGGGAAGGGAAAGGACAGAAGAGGCTGCAGGTACAGCAGGGGTGGCCAGGCAGAGTCTGAGGCAGGAGCTCATCGATGTGCATGGGAGGAAACAGGTCTGCGTTCTCCATCCAGCTCCTGCTTTCTCCCTCCATCCCTTTCTTTATAATACATAGAAGTAATAGTGCCTAGGGGCCAGGGGCCAGGTGAGGAGGGAATAGCACCCAGGTAGATCTTAGCCCTAGGCTGAGCCCTATGGAGATGCACAGAATGAGTGGGTATAGAGAGGGAGTACCACAGGTACTCTCTGGAACTGGCCTGGGGCATGAGAAGCAGGAGAGGACAGGAGATCATATATATATATATATATATATATAAAACAGCAATAGGCCACAGGTGTTCCTGAGGGAGGGGGATGAGGAGACCAGGCTGTAAGAGGTACTGGCTCCTGGGGGACCAGAGGGGAGAGGAGGGACTGGTCTGAGTCACACAGGAATTAATTTGCATATCTCACTCCTACCTGGTGCCAGGCAAAGGGGAGTTGTGGGTGGGTAGAATGGGGGACACAGGGCCCTGGCTGTAGCTAGCAGAGACTGGGAGACCTTAAGTGAGCTGCTGGAGACAGGAGTCTGACCTGGAGCTATAGGGAATCTAGGAAGTTGGCAGGGATATTAGGGGGCATGGAGGCCCGGCAGAGATCCCTGGAGGAACAGGATCCAAACAGACCCTGTCCGTTCCAGCCTATTTCTAGTCCTACCAGCTAAGTGCCCACACCAGAGAGGAGGAAACCTCAGGCCAGCCCCCTTCCCAGTCAGAGCTGCCCTTGCCACCGGCACCAACGGACCCTGCAGCTTCAAGGAGTGAGATGGGCAACCAGAGAGGGAAAGGGTCAGGGGCTGCCAGTCTGCCAGGAGCAGCCGTGGAGTTCAGGCCATTTGCCCAGAAGATGCCAAGCACCTCCGTGGAGATGGAAGAGGGGCTTGGAGGTGTGATATCATGGTATTCAAGTATTGGAGGGACAGGGTGATGGTGGTAGATAAAGGCATGGGCCCAGGCCAGTGGCCTCACAGCAATGGAGGGGAGTGTCCCTATTGTACCCCCTTTACCTTCATTCCCAAGCTGGGTTCTGAACTGAGCTTATCTGCTTCTGAGAGTGAAGAAAGCAAGAGAATGTCCCTGCCCTTGATCCAAGAGCAGGAAGCAGGCTTTTCCTGGGTGACAATGTCAGGGTAGGTGGCCTGGGTTCAGATAGATGAGGGGAGGGTTCCTCAAAGGTAATGTCCCTTCAGCCCACACCTAGAGGACACTCAGAGAAGGGCATAAGACTGAGTCTCCTTCATCCTCAGATCCAAGTGCTGAGTGAATACAGTGTCTAGTACCCAGTAGGGCATCCTTGATGGACTTGGACCCCAATGAATTGATGGGGGCTGCCCCTTGAGAGCAAGCAGCAAGTGTGGATTGGGCACAAGCAGGCATAGCCAGTGCCCACCAGTCTGCTGTGGACAGCTGCAGAGCTCAAGGCTTCTTCTGTAGAGGCTTTCGGAGTCGGTCTTTCCCACCGCACCTGTATGCCCCAGGGGGCCACAGAAGGTAAACCAGAGCCTCTTGTGGGAGTAGGTCTTAGGCTGGAGCCATGCTCTTAGCCTTGGAGAGCCTCCCAGAAAGAAGAGATCTTGCAGCTAGAACTAGAGAAGGGGGGCAGGAGATTGCTGGGTCTGGGGGAGCGCTCCAGGTGGGAACTGGTACTGAGGCTGGACAGGAGCTGAAGGAGACCTGCCTACAGGTGGGCACTGCATGGGGGAGGCGTCAGGAACCACAGAGGAAATGGCAGAGCAGTTTCCCGAGGAAGAAGGAAAATTGGCTTGGGCTCAGAGGATGCTAAGCAGGCAGTGGGCTCCCAGGCCACTCCCTTTAAGAAAGGCAAAGGGGTGCGGCCCCCTTTCCCTCCCTCCCCGACAGGGCTGGAGTGAGTTTGGGGTTCTTTGCTCCCCCCTCCCCAAGCCTAGGAGAACATTGCCCAGGCACCCCATTGTCATCAGCCAGTCGCTGCGCTTTCTCTTCAGGTACCCCTGCCTCCCTCCTTAACGCTCCTGCGGTTCCCCACCCCCCAGAAGCTTCCTTGTCCTGCCGCTGCACCATATTCCCACTTGCCCATGGAACCCTCTCAATTCACAGTTGGCACCGCAGATTCCACTCTGCTCCCCTGTGCCCACAATCTTGTCCCAAAGCTGCCAGGATCCTCCTGGCCCTGGGGTCCCTCAGCGCTGGCACTCCTAGGGCACTGGTGTTGGGGAGCCAAGGGGGTACCTCTGAGGGCACTGCCCGGCTCCCATGGGGGCAGCAGTTCCTCGCTCCGCCACACACATTGTCCTTGTGCTGCTAGGGGGTTGGGGGGGGGAGGTCCTTGTGGGGACACTGCGAAGCCGGCCCCGGGCATCCAGACTGGCATGGCAGTGTCCGGATTGCAGGGTCCGAGTCCGAGTCCGAGTCTCTGCCTAGAATCCACGCCCCCGGGGCTGGGATGACGGGATGTGGCGGGGGCGGGGGACAGTCCGTGCGGTTCCAGCCGACAGCAGCCCCAGGCTGGGGCTCCAAGACGGCGCCCCGGCAGTACCGCCGTCCTGCCCGCCGGTGCGGGGCGCCCCAGCCCGCGCGGGGCGGCGCTTACCTGGGCTGGCCGCCTCCGGGTCCCGGTACATGGTCCCCTGGTTGCAGGCTCCCTCCGGGCTTCTCAGAGCCGCCTGCGGCCGCGCGCTTCTCTACCGCTGCTGCAGGGCATGGGGCCGGGCGACCCCCGGAGGCGGGTCCGAGGGCGGGGGCCGCGCGGGCTGCACC